AGAATCAAGAGGGTTCTGAAAGAGTTCATGTTAAATTACAGAGAGGAGTACACTATTCAACAAGAAACGCAGCCTTCAGCGTCAAATTCACAAGCATGTAACCTTTAAAGTTGAGACCCGCTAAACAATTTTACACTTTTTGCAGAGAGAAAAGCACGAGGATTTTGAATCTGCTCCTACTTCAGTATGTAATCGCTCCTGCAAGGAGCTATAGTCGTTGGGATAGTGCTAATGTAGCGAAAAAGTACCTTTCGGCGGTACTCGGGCAAAAATCCTCAACGTGGCCATTTTTTAAATAGTGAACGTATTTAGCAGTTTTAGTTGCCTATAGAAAGAGCAAATCTTCTAGTTTATGATGACGTATTAACTTTCCAGATTGCATGAGTTTGAACGGAGTTATGGCTTTGGAAAGCGTAAAAACTCGCACTCATCACGAATTTTCCTCGTTAATTTTGCAAAAATCCTCAACGTGGCCATTTTTTGAAGCAAAACGAAAAAATACTGGACGGATGAAGCTGCTTTAGCGACCGTTTGATAGAGAAATCTTCTAGTTTTGTATGCCGTATCAACTTTTTGAATTTGACGGAAATGAAGCAAGTTATTGCTCCGGAAAGTGTAAAAACTCGTGCTCGTCTCGAATTTTCCTCGTTATTTGATCTAAATTTGTTATTTCTTATAACTTCCTGTAATTTCAGTACTGATTAGAAAAAGCTCTTCACAAAACTCCCAAATCAGCTTTCAGATTGAAAATTCGTTAACTTTGAAGAAAGTTATAATCATTTGAATATTTGTTCAAATTTCAATAGTAAATAAGCTGCTCCACGGTCAACGCCAAAGTCCAGTCAACACAGCTGGCGAAGGCTTTTACAAGGCTTCCTTTTGAGCGAAAGGGGGACGTGTAAATTGAGAACCATAATCTGTGTAGTACTAGAATTTGGTAAGTCTTGTGGAGGAAATAAACAAAGAAGAGGTGTTGTCATAGTACTGTAGTGTGAGTTTTTGCCCGTTTTCGTTTTGCTCGTTTGACGAATCGTCATTCTTCGCTTTTTCACTTTCGTATATTTTAACGACGTTTGTGGTGACGGTGGGGTAGCAGGGCTTTTTTATGAGCAGTTTTGGTGGAGAATTAAACAACTTTTTCATAGTTCGGCTTTTAAAGAGGGTTGTTTCATGGACTTCGGCCTTCGGCAGAGGAGGGGGGGGTCGTATTTCCGAATTTTCCTCGACGCCTCGCTTGACCCTGGCGTACATGGTCATCCCCACCCGGGTTGCAATCACCGATCGCTGAGAACATCGTTGTAACACTCCAGGATGGGGTCAAGGGCAAGGCGGCGGCGTCTTTCTGCATGCGCAGGGAAGTTGGATAACTACTGAACCTGGCAAAGGCGATGCTTATGGATAACAGATTGGTTCTATGTATGACGGCTTTCAATACACCACAGCGATGTCAGTCATCAAAACGATGCTTTGCGCTATGAAGGTCGTCAGTGTCCTTCAATTTTCGGATCAACGGAGTGAGCATTTTCGAAAGACGTGCTCGTCAAGGTGTCGACTCGCATTGGAGCAGTCGCACTCGACAGCTTCTGTCAGTTTTCTAACTCTCTTGTTTTGCTGAGAGACGGTCGTCATCGATGGCAGACGGAGGGCCTTTCCATTTTCAAGAAGTGTTGCTGTTGTATCAGACTTGGGAGGAATGTAAGGGCTTGATTGTTGAGGATAAAGAATGAGGAAAAGGGAGCAATGGGCAAAATCAAGGAAGACCTTACAGGTGAGGTCGTTCAGGGTGTGGGGCGCTTTTTCAAAACGGTTCTCTGCATGTTGTAGGACTCATGTTTGGACGACAAAACCGAGGTCCATTCCGGCGTAAATTGGAGTCATCGAAAGAAATGGATGTCATATTCGTGATCAGAGTACTGGATATTCTTAATGCAGAAGTTTAGAAAAAATTGAGATTTTGACCTAGTTCCGAAAATTGGCCATTGATAAGTCAGTAGCCCACAGGGTACCTCCAGCCGGCGAACTGAAAACAGTCTCCTCGTAATTCTTCTTGGAATACTAGAAATCAAAAGAACCCATGCAGCATGCGGAAAAAGTTTTGAGAAAGCGCTATACTCCGTGAACGCCTTCCCTTGTTGTTATGATTTCACTCGAGGTCATTTTTTTTTGCTGAGTGAAGTCAGTGGACTACTTGACAGTTGAGTAAACAGATAGTATATATTGGTATCTCTATTTCAATACTTACACAACACGTAATCGCATTCATGTGCATGTGGGTAAAATAGAATTTGATTTAAAGGCACTGGTCACGATGGCTGGAGGGTGTAGGTGTTTTGATAACTTCGTTGAGCGTCATTAGTGGAAGGATGTTAGGAGAGTCTCGCAACCACGTCCACGTGAGGGGTCTAGCTCACCAGTGATGTGCAGTGTTGTCATTAAAACCGTACGGCCCTACAGCCATCCTGATCACTGCTTCCAAAATTCGTGAATGAGATACATATTTTTGCTTTACTCTTTTATGATTGGTTGTTGTGCAGTCTGATCATACTATTGCAGTCGAAGCGCATACGAAGTTGGTTAGAAGACGAAGTAACCCCGAACACTGAGACTGGCGATTTTACGAAGAATCATGCCATTTTAGTGGCACTGGTACGACCAATAAAGAAGAGGATTGATGAAGGAAAAGTGAGTATTATCATCTGTTTCTTATAATCGCAAAAAATGAAAACTGATGCCAAAAACTGATGAAGGCTCCACTCTCGGCAACAGCTATTCTTCAAAAAAATAGCCGCGCATCGACTCAGCACAGGAAAATGGCGTTTGCTTGCCTATCCCCTTTGTAAAAATCACCGTTTCCATCTCTATACAAATCTGGTATCATCAGTCGAGCCGGGAGGGATGGAAAGCTTGTTCGACATCTGTCTTGTTCGATGCAGAGAGTACGATTTTCGGACTGCGACTGTGTGGAGGCATATGAAGGGTCCTACACGCCAGGCTTCTACAACGAGCTCTGAAACCATGAGATGTCTTAGCTTGCTGCGGGTTAAGAAAAGCCCAAAAATATACTCCCTATCTTGGATTTTGTAAGGCTTGAGCAGTTTTTATTTTAAATTTTGATCTCTGTGGCTCCGTATATCAACACGCGTTCATATTTTCGGGTAGGAATCGAATGCAGACTACGCATTGTCAACATGCTTGAATGCCTTCTTCAAGATAACTTAGCAGAGTTGGTCTAATTTTCTGAATAACAATACTTTGGAAGAATATTTAGGGGTGTGAAATTCCTCAAATCAGTACATTGAAAATTTGCTTTACCAACCTAGACAATAACCACTCAAAGAAGATTGATCATAAGGATGAGTCAAACATGTGAATAATTATTCTTTCTTTAGACACTCCCGCCTGCGTTGGCGAACCTGGAGTCGATGTTGAATTCGTCGCGTGTCATGGCCAGCATGGGCGGTGACGACGAGAAATCGTTGTTCAACAAGGTTCGTGAGGTGTATGGTGCTCAGATCAATTTGTTCGTTTCATAGATTATCGTTGTCCCGATTCCTCCAAAGCTAAGATTGAGGAATTGCGTTTGTCTAGTGTTTTTCGTTTTCCTCTGAACTTTTCCCTCTTATGTCTCTGAATTATTTTTCCATTTATTTGTTGGAGATTATTGCACGCTAAACTGGAATGATTTTTTTTATCTCACCACTCTAGTACTAACATATGCCCATTGTCCACTTACAATTCTCTTCATCAGCTGTTCGTCGAAAAAAACTTCGTTAGGTCCTTTTCAGTACTAAAGCCATGCATTTCTATTTCAGTCCGATGCTGATGCGTTCAGCAAGAAGCTGGATAGACTGACGACTTGGTTGGAAGGAAAGAAGGCAGAACAAGAGAAGAGACAACCCTATGAAGATCCAGCATTGATGACAAGTGAAGTGTATGCCAAGGTAGGATTGATATGCGCCCAGAAATTTTTCTTCAGGTTTACAAAAACCGTGCACTGGCTATGTCAACCTTGATCTTTCCTGTCATCCACGACTCAAACTATTCGCTCTTGATCAACTATTCTGTTTTTAAAGGCAC